ACTCCTGCTGTGCATTCTTGCTGCATTGGTAGCGGAGCGTCGATCCGGTGCCTTTCCTGATTCTTAAGGAATCTGCGTCTGTGAGGATCAGCTCCGAGTATTTCTTCCAGAACTTTCTCCACAGCTGTACTTCCGTGAAGGACTTCTGTACAGTTGGTTTTCTTGTTCAATCAGTTCTTTGGTGGTTTGATTTGGTTGACAATCGTCTTCATGGCCGATAGCAGGGATGCTTCTTCAATTCCCTCATGGGATGGCTCTGCGCGTACCTGGAGGAGGTACACACGTGAAGTATCATGGTTTGTCCAGAGTACTCCTGTTCACAAACGTAGATACTGTGCTTCGAAGCTGCTGTCAAGACTTTCAGGGCCGGCAAGACTTCTGGCTATGAGTTGGAGTAAGATTGGTTTTGATGCCCCAGATGGTACCAAACTGTTCTTACAGCGTCTTGCTTCGAGTCCGTTGGTGAGGCGTTCTTTGCCGAATGCGGCAGCCATCTGCACACAGTATTTTGGATTCAGGCGTAATTCTGGAGAGTCAATACAGAACTTCCTGGTGCGTGAGACTCTAGTCCATGAAGAGTTCATTGAGGCTATCATCCGCCTTCATGAGGATAAGGTTGGTGTGAGTGAAGAGACACGTGACTTCGGTCTTCCCCCAGTGCCTGAGGCTGATGACTATCCATGGCATGATGGTCGTGGATGGAGTTGGTGGCCTCCTGGCGACGATGTCTACGAGGACTTTGAGGGTGGCTCAGCTGCTGATGGACCACCTGGTGATGATTCAGGCGCTGCTGACCGTGATCCTTCCTCAGTACCTCAACCACCTAGCCCTGAACCTCCTGAAGGTCGCCCCCCGCAAGGAGCTACTGGGTCTTCCCCTAGTCATCATCGTGACGCTAGCCAACAGGGTGATGCTCGTGTTTCCAGTCACATGGGTGCTAAGAAGGATGATCGACCTTCCTTAGATGAGCTTTCAGTGGCTGATTCCTTCATACTTGATGTTCTTCGGGGCCGGCGACTTCTGCAAGCAGCAGGGTTATCCCATGAAGAGAAGCGTGACATCCTGAGCACAACCAAGAACTCCCTTGACTACCAAGTTGTGTCCTCTGCTCTCCAAGGACTTTGGGATGATCAACTCATTGGTGGTCGGTCTGGCTTTGGACATAACGCGCACTACCTGGACACCTCGGACGACCAAGAGCTCTACTACGCCGAAGATTCCTGGTGGAACGAAGATGACTCGTGGTGGAGTCACTCTTACTATGCCGATGGCTCCTACGAGGACGACGGCTGGTGGCATGACTCCTGTGATCAAGGAGATCTTTACGCCTCCACCTCAGGTGCCCCATCCATTGATCCAGAATCTGACGAAAAGCTTCAAGAAGCTCATCGAGCTGAACAAGTGGCTGAAGGACTTGCTGCGGATGCCCATCGCACCTGGACTGAGGCCCAGAAAGCCACTGCTGCTCTTCGTAGAGACCGTGGATTTGGCGCAGTGATGAGCAAGGGCCAGGCACCTCCTCGTTGTTTCAGCTGCGGGGGCAATCATTTTGCTCGTGATTGTCCAGACAGGTGGGCGCCTGGACATAAGGGCTTGGGTAAGAATCGTCACTTCCTCGCGGACATGTCCAACGGCTACTACCTTGACCCCTATGAGCTTCAGTACTATTCCAAGGGCAAGTCGAAAGGCAAGGGCAAGGGCAAGTTCAAGGGTAAGCACGCCATGTGGCTTGATGCTCAGGCATGGACCAAAGGCAAGGGCAAGTACAAATCCAAGGACTCTGGAAAATCGGTGAATGCCTACGCTTCTCACCTCTTTGCTGGTGGTCTTGAGCTGTCTGATGGTCTTGAGATTCAGGCAGCCAGTGTTCACCCAACAGCCCTTCATCAAGGAATGATTGATTGTGGAGCAACAGCTAGCGCGGCTCCAGAAGCAGTGGTGCAAGGCCTAATCGGGGCTGTTCTTGCACAGGACCGTTCTGCCAAGATCGAGTTTGACCAAGCCTCGCGACCGTATTTTAGGTTTGGCAACGGGCGTTGGGGCAGGGCTCTGTGTAAGGTTCATATTGCCAGCAATGTTTCCGGCCAGGAACGTACCTTTTCCCTGTACACTTTGCCAAATCCTCCGGAATACTATCAGACCAACTTTGACAAGCAGTCTCTTGTTCCTGTTCTGATTGGCATGGATTTTCTGGGCAAGAATGGCAATGGCGTCATGATAGATTTCGGTACTGGCTTAGCTATGTGTACCAAAGATGCGCATCCTGAGATCTTCCAGTTGAACGTGAATTCCAAAGGCCATTACGTCTACGATCTTGTTGAGCATCTTACACGGGGACGTTCTTGTCATGAGGGCAATGCGCATGTGATAGTTCGCCAGTCTGATGTTGCTCACTGCAATGACATGTCACATCAGATGCTTGAGCTTTGGACTGCATGGATAGACCTCTCCATGAGCGATCGAGTGCATGACGAGCATGAGCTTGAGGTGGCAAGAAATCGTATGTGGCAACTTTACAGTCATGGTCATGGTCAGGCAATATCTTCTTCGACCTCAGCTGCTTCAGCTCAGATGTGTGGGCCCGTAGTGCTCAATTCCTCGTCAACTTCCTCTTCTCGATCCCACTGCCTCGCAGTCTCATCCTTCGGACCCAACAAGGGTGTCAGAGGAAGCGGAGAAACTGCTGACGGCGGCCTACAAGGCCAAAGCTCAACCCAAGCGCAAGGCCCGCTCAATCGACAAGAGCCGTGCCATGCCCATGGATGTGAGAGATCCTCGGGCCAGTCAGGAGCAGTGGCCATGCTTCAATCGCCATGTGCCGGACAAGCCAATGTCCAATGCCCACGGCCAGTGGATCCATTGTCGCACTTGCGATGTGAGGATGATGTACATTCCTCGCAAAGGCTCTCCGGCAACTTCAACCGCGACAGTGAATGGCCCCATGGTCCTGGAGATGCTCAACGAACTGCAGACCCTCCTGGGCAACCTCAAGCCAACAGCAACCATCTGTCGTCATGCCATGGCCAAGGTGGTGGCCGACCATGTCCTGAAGGATTCCATTGCCCAGCTGCAAGCTCAACAACCGACGTCACCTCCGCGCCCGATGACTCGGACGACCCCATCTACTCCAACGTCATGGGCAGCGGTGGACAACGAGGAGCTGATCTCAGCCATGGAGGCAGAGTTCAACAACCAGTGACTTCATCAGCTACCAAGACTTCATCAGCTACCAAGACTTCCTCAGCTACCAAGACTTCCTCAGCTATCAAGACTTCTTCAGCTATCAAGACTTCCTCCGACATCACGACAGCCTTGTCTTCCGCGACTTCTACAACCTCCAGAACCTTGACTCCTACACGGTCTTCCTTCAGTACACCTATGTTGTCAGGTCCCCAGAGGGCATCTCGGGCTACCTCTTTGAGACAGTCTTCTCACTCCAATTCCAGGACTAAGCCTGCGATGCAACCTGCTCCTCTCTATATCATCAAGAAGATCATGACTATGACGGCCATGCTTGTTGCATCGACTGCCTCTTTGCTGACTGGTCTTCATCTTCATGACCGTGATGGATTGTGGGAGGTGGCGTGTGGACCACATTCATGGTTGTCAGAGGCGGCGGCTGAACATGAATTGAAGCCAAGACGTATCAACTTGAGCAATGGCTTTGATTTGTACCAGCCTTCTACTTGGGTCAAACTGGGGGAGATGCGGAAGCTTCATCGACCTAAGAAAATTTGGCTTTCCTTGCCATGTACTCGCTGGTGTCCATGGACGGCTGTCAACTACAACACGGAGGAGCTCAAGGAAAAGTTGGAGTCTCTAAGACGACGCGAACGTCGACTTCTTTGGCATGCTGTGGCCTTCTTGAAGGACACTTTGCGTGAGGAACCAGATACCGATGTGTACTGGGAGTGGCCCTGGCCATGTCAAGGATGGAACCAACTTCCTCTTCAAGATCTTGCCGCTTTTCTGGAAAAGGAAAATCTGGAGTGGTTGCCTTGCAGGATCGATGGCTGCGTCTATGGCATGAAGGATCGAAACGGTGCCTTCTTGAAGAAGAAGTGGATGGTCCGCACCACTGATACACATTTCCACAAGGCATTTCGAGCGAAAACTTGTTGTGGCAATCATGGAGTTCATGGTTACATTGAAGGCTCTGAAACCAGCAAGACGTCGTACTATCCATGGCGACTGGTTCAGGCTTGGACCAGACATTGGAAGTCTCAACCCGCTCCCGAACGCCACTGTAAGCTTGTTGCCTTGCGAGGTGATCTCCCTTCCGAGACGGCCATGGATCTTGACCATGTGACGGAGAATGATCTTTGCGAAGCACTTCCGTCGACTTCAACTTCGTCCAATGATCCTATAGACTGGATGCTGATGGATGACCTTCACATGGTGGAGTCTGATCGTATCAGTGTGGAACATATGGCTCTGGAGGCCAGGAAGCATCAGAACTTCAAGATGGATACCTGCGAGGCCCTTCTTCAAGAGCTCTATTTCAAACTTCGTGGACAACCAGGTGTCTCTCATCAACGATGGCAACGTTCTGACACTTGTGTTCTCGTCTTTGGAGCCTATGCCCATGGCGCCTTCAGCGGTTGTACCAAGGCTACTGCGAGATATCCAGAAGTCGTGAAGTTCTTGAATGCTTACCTCCTCTACCACAATCCTCAACATACCTGGTCCAGCGTCATGGTGACGTTCAACGGCGATGCCCGTCCACATTGCGATCATCACAATCAGAAAGGCTCTTGGAATCTTATTCATGGTCTTGGCAATTATGCCGGTGGCGGCTTGTGGATTCATGGAGATCCTCCTCCTGGAGCTCTTCCAGCTCGTCGGCGTCTTGGTGATGGTTCTCTTTTGTTGGGCTACGTCAAGGAGACCTTGCGGAAGTTTGTGTACTTTCAACCTGATGTTCTTCATGCTTCCCAGCCTCGTCAAGGTAAGGGCCTTCTGGTCTCTTCGTACACGACCCGCTTGGCATCTGACATGGACCCGTCTGACATCAACATGCTGCTCCAGTACGGCTTCCCTGTGAAAACTATCATTGCCACTAATAATGCGTGCCCTGTCCTTCAAGAATCTCCTTCGACTCAAGGCACCTCCAATGGAGATCCTGAAGTGTCTCCTGAAATTCGTGCCAAGTGGGAGGCTCAGGTGGCTCGCTTCCATAAAGCTGCCGGACATCCCACAAATCGAAACTTGGCCAAGATCATTCGAGATGCTGGTCATGAGGATTGGAAGGTGCGCGTGGCCTTGGAGTACAAGTGTCCTTCCTGTCAAAGTCTTCGTGCTGGAGGAACGTCGTCTGGTCAGATCCCACCTGCTTCTACGCATAGCATGTACTCTGCTTGGCAAGCTGTGGGAGTAGACTCCGGAGAATGGATACCTCCTGGCTCCAAGGTCAAGGTTAAGTTCCTGTTGTTCATTGATCTTGCGACTAAACTTCGTGTAGTTTGTCCTCTCTTCACCTATGGGTTTTTGGAAATGCGCACAGAATCAGGTCAGGATCTCATCCACCACTTCACTGAGCGCTGGATTGGCCAATACCCGAAGCCACAGGTCTTGGTGTTGGACTCTGCAAAGAGCTTCATCTCAGAGGCAGTCCACGACTACGCCCATAACTTGAACATTCAGCTTTCTTTTGTGGCTGAAAAGGAGGCATGGGCGCATGGCATTGTGGAGGCCGGTGTGCAAGATTTGAAGATGACAGCCTCTGCGATACACCTTGATTCTCTGGATCAGGATCCTGGTCTCACCTTGTTGCTGGCAGCTTCGGCCCTCAATGCAACCGAGTATACTGCCGGCTTCTCCTCATTTCAGTGGGCATTTGGCCGAGAGTATCATATCAGCGACGAAGATGCCCGGACCTATGCTCAAGCCGACTTGAAGGATGAGTTTGCCAAATTGGTCACTTGTCGAGAAAAGGCCCAGGCAGTTGCGTTGAGAACGCGCAGCCGACGTGTTCTCTCGAGATTAGCAAATACGACAGTACGTCAACCGCTTCGCACCTACCATCCTATGGATTTGGTGAAAATTTGGCGCAGGGTATGGCCGAAGGAGCAATTCTCTGGCCCACGTGGCGGACTTCGCAAATCTGGTAGACCCCATTGGGTGGGCCCTGGCCGCGTCATCTTTCACGAGGTCTTGCCTCATCAAGATGCTGATGACGACCGCAGACACATAGTGTGGGTCCTTGTGGGAGCTCAACTTTTCCGTTGTTCGGCACATTCTGTTCGACCAGTGACTGAGGTAGAGCGGTTCCAATTTGAAACTTCTGGCTCAGAGAAACCTGAAGGTTGGCGTTCTCTTGCTGATCTACTACCTCACCGAGAGTATCAGGATCTCACCGACCAAGTTCCTGATGCTGAAGAGGTGGAAGAACCTGATCTTCCTCCTGAGCCAGACTCCACGACTACGACTGTCCCAACTCGCCGTGTGACTCGGAAGACGACTATGCGTCCCTCAGCTCTTCCATCGGTGTCGGAGTCCGAGGAACTGGGCACTACCTCTACAAAGCGACCAGCTCCGATGTCCTCAACAACTCCATCGTCTACAGCAGGCGATCCTAATTCTACTACCACCACAGCCCCCAATCCACTTGCAACGACTCCGTCCTCTTCTACAACTGCTCCTGGTGAACCAGTGAACGACTATGAGGAGACTGACTCCAAGCGTGCTCGAGTTGAAGATTGGGTGGCCAATTTGTACAAGGCTGTTGCCGAGGAAGCGAATGTCATGGACATCTATTCTGCCTTCCTGGAAGCTCCTGAGTGCCTCAAGGTCGAGTTCGACATAGATGCTCCTACTTCGAACCGTCAAAGAAAGGCCCTGGAAAGAAATCCTGTCCTCTTCCTGATCAAGAAAATGAAGGACTCTGAGGTTTCGCTGGTCAAGTTGCCTGCGCATGAGAAGGTTCTCTTCCAGCGTGCCAAGACGAAAGAGGTGGACTCGTTCATCAAGCACGAGGCTGTTCGACGTTGCCTCGACGACCAGGAGATCCGCAAGGCCTATGACACCCAACGGATAGTCCGGGCTCGCTGGGTCTTGACCTGGAAATGCACACCTGATGATGAACGTGAAGAGGCACAACAGGATGCCCAGCAGAACCCCAAGACTGTATTCACATCTGATGGTGGTAAAAAGGCTAAGGCTAGGATAGTCCTTTTGGGTTTTGAGCACCCCAATCTCCTGGACCCCACCTTTAAGACCTCCAGTCCTGTTCAATCAACGTTGGGCCGCAACCTGCTTTACAGCATGGCAGCTCAACATCAATGGCCACTTGAAGGTCTTGATCTGGCCACGGCTTTCCTTCAGACTCAAGCAACTGAAGCAGACCGGGAGATTTGGACAAGTGGTGTTGCAGAGCTTCGTGAAGCCCTTGGCGTTGGTGCGGAGGGCATCATGCGGGTTCTTCGCAATATTTACGGCAGCACAACGGCTCCTCGTGGTCTTTGGCTGGACTTGCACAAGACTCTTACTTCCTTGGGAGGTCATGCTGTCAAGGGTGAACGGTGCTTGTGGATATGGCTTTCGAAGGATCGCATGGACTCCTTGAACGGCAAGCAGTTCCCATGGTGATTGGAGCTATGGGCGGCCATGTCGACGACTTCCATAGGATTGGCGATGGCTCGCCAGAGTGGCTAGCTGTGAAAGAGCAGATCAACAAGGCGTATAATTGGGGCATGACTAAGGTTGGCAACTATAGGCATGCAGGAACAGATGTCTCTTCTGTGTATGATGGTACTGGCAAGTTCAAAATTCTGGTCAATCAGCAGTACTACATTGACGGAGTTCCTGATATCGACATTGAGGTCGATCGCCTCCGCCTAAATGTTCCTTTGGAGCGCCGTGATGTTGATGCGTGTCGAGCTAGTCTTGGCGCCCTTCAATGGTTGGCAGTGCAGACTCAGCCCCAACTCTGTGCTAGATGCAATCTCCTTTGACTGACTTAGTGACTAATGGTTCAATGGAGACAGCCCGTGAGATACAGGAGCTTATCTGCGAGGTTCGTCGTGAACCAACCACTCTGGTGTTTCAACACTTTCCATCAGTCAAACATTGGGCAGACATGGTGGTGATCACCATGGGGGATCAAGCTCATGCCAATAGGCCTCGTGGAGACTCCACGGGCGGTCTTCTGACGCTTCTTGCCGGGCCAGAAAGCATCCAAGGCCGAGTATGCCGCATGAGTCTCATCTCATGGCGCACGTGGAAACTCAAAAGAAAGGCGATATCTTCGAATGATGCTGAAGTGCAAGCGATGATCGAATCCGAAGATCATTGCTTTCGAACCCGGCTGCTGTGGACAGAGCTTCATGGAGCTGGATGTGCAGAGCATCATCGTCAGCGTGAGGATCACATTGATCGAGCTGAGCGGCAGGTTATTGCCATCAAAGGGATCGTGTGTACAGATAGCAAAGGAGGATGGGACTCAGTGCAAGTGAATGAAAGTCCTCTTCTGGGCTTGAGTAACATTCGTGCTGCTCTCCAAGCATTTCAATTGCGTGACAATTTGTTACGTACGGGAGGTGAGCTCCGATGGCTTGCTTCAGACTTTGACCTTGGAGATGCTCTTACCAAGAAGAGAGCAGAATGCCGAACGGGCATTCAGAAGTTTCTCTCCTCCGGTCAGTGGTGTATCATGTTTGATCCTTTGTTTGTTTCCGCTAAACGCAACAAGAAAGCTGGGAAATCAGCTGTGGATGTTCTTCAGAGGGCCCTTAACTCAGAGACTGATCAGCTCACTTCTTTTGGGGTTGATGCAGAATGGTTGAGTTACTTTCATGATTTGAGCTGATCTGTAGCTACTGGCTTAAGGGGCCCCTTTTTGGCGTAGCTTGTGGTCACGACTTGAGCCACGGATTCTTGCGAACGCGCAAGTAAAAGGAGACCAGTGCGAGCGCGCACTTCAAGCTTTGCAGTACTCTTGAGCCCGATACTCCTGCTGTGCATTCTTGCTGCAGAGAGCCTTACAGAATTCCACTGGAAAGCTGAGGATGCCCGGTGTCTGGAGTCTTGAGAAAGGGTGCTTTTGCTTGGGCCGGGTGCCCTGAAAATACCGCTGCAACCTCATCAGTTGTTACAATACGAATGTTATATAGCAGAGAAGTACCTGACACGCAAGAGCGCACAAACCCAAAAATAAACAGCTTCTTGAAGTGTTGTGGCAACTGGGTGGCAGCTGTGCCAAGAACAGTCTATACATATTGGTGGCTAGTATACTCCAGCTGGGAGAGAGCAGTACCAGCAGGCCAATGAGAAGTGGTGTTTCAGGTATGCTTGCGGGGAAGCCGCGTAGTTCCAGAACTCTGGAGACTCGATGCTTTCCCAAACTAGGGGACCCCAATTTAGACCCCAAAATGCTTATCATTTGGAAGCCTAAAAGGATACCCCTGAGTTTGGGAACTCCAGATCATGGCAAGGTGGACCTCAATCGGGCCGCTGACCTCCTCGATGAGTTAGCGCAGCGGAGGGATGCGGGGGCCCACAGCCTGAGTCAAAGTCTTAAAGCACTGCTCAGTATTCCCCTCAAAAGGACGTAGGGTGTCCAGTTAATTTTCCGTTTTATTTTCCATGTAGTTCTCCATGCTGCTTCACCCCAAAAGAGATCCATTACACTAATTTTGTTGTTAGTATGAATGAGGAACAAGCAGCAGGGCCGGGGTTAAGGTATGAGTCCACGGTTTGGGGCCCAGGCGTGGAATTACATGAGCGGGTCTCATCCCTCAGCGCTAAGCACGTTTGGCTTAGGATGGATGTTTTCTGAGGGCTTGGCGTGGATCGTTTGGTTTACATAGCTTGGCACGTGGGATACTGCTAGGTAAGACCTAAGTCATAGGTAAACATCCCACTGTTCCGTATTGCTCTATACATACAGCACTAGTGCTTCGTGACGTGCCTACCAAGATCTTGCGGCAAACGTATTCCTATCTGAATCTTATCTTGCATATAATTCTTCTCTCGGTTTGGAAAGATCTTATTGTTGTTACTGTAGTATTCATCGTAGCAGCAGTCGCAGTACTAGTCGCAGTACTATTTACAGAAGTACGGTGGCGGCAGTGGTGTGAGCACCAGTAATATCAATTGGCGGACATTTGGATCTCTTGCTGTAGGCCCTCGCTGAGAATTCATCTAGCTTCTGTTGGGAGATGCTTCTGGGTCTTGTAGGCTTCTCCTTGTGAGGGGTCTAGTAGGGGCCTGGATGTTTGCGAAAGCTTTATAAGGTAGCCAAGAGCAGCCAAGTACATGGCGACTAAGTCGACTAAGTGTTGAGTTTTGAGAATGCTGGTGGGTGAAATGGCTTTGGCCAGCAGACATTTCTCCAGCCAAGTCTCAGTGGTTTTTTGGTTTGGTTGGCAATGCAGGCGGCTAGGAGGCTCGTTTGCACGCAGCCTGCCTGCTTCAGGTACGAAATCCCAGCGCCTTCGTCGTCCACGCGCTCGGGAGGTGGCACAAGGGCTGTCTTTTCGAATCATCTGAACCCAGACCACTCAGAAGATTCAGATGGCAATAGTAGAGCCGCAATTTAATCGGTAGCTTCGCCAAAGTCTTGAAGACGCAGCTTTGTAGATCCTAGTTGACAACTTGCTCTTGAGGAGAAGATCTGGGTTCTCCTGCATTACCAAAGTTATACCATATACGAAGTGGGTGCCGTGTTGTCTTGCTGTAGCATGCGTTTGCTTATTGCAAGTGCCTGAAAACTTGGATGGTAACGTTGGCTAGTGGACTGGATGAAGCTATGGAAATCAGATCTCCGACTTTGCAAATGCACGCCTGGTACCAACATGCGAACCTGGACCTGAAGATCAAGAAGATGTGTTCTTGTACTGTCCGGGTGGAGTCTGATGGACATCTTCATTTCAAGATACATGCCCTGATGGTTTTGTAGTTGTCCTTGGGGAGCATAAGGGTTTAGAGCTCTTAGAACACGGGCCTAGAGAACAGAGAGCAGCTGCGGAAGGGACATATCAACAGGCAAGAACGCGTGGCAGTGAAACCATTTCATAGGTCCGATACGAGGACATGCAGGATTGAAATGTAGAGATTTAGAGCTGTCATAGGATGTTATGAAAAATCATTTTTACTTTAATGCGATGAGGACATCATATTATGAGATGTATTAATATGCAAGGTTATTCAGGATGGTCCAGACTTGGCGTCCATGTCCACTGTTTACCGTAGATGTTCAAGGTTCCCTTCAGAGCCAACCTCAAGCCCATAATCCAACGAAGGCGCAGTGAAAACTCTAAGCCCTACAACCCAACAACTCTAGAACCAACTCTAGACCTCTCCACCACAAACCAAACTCTAAACCGCAAGCCAAACTGGAAAGCCTTAATCCCAGAATTTGTAGGGACTATACGGGATGTATTAAGGGATGTATCGGATTGAGGGGTTTAGGGTAGACATCCTTCCAAAAAGGCTAACATGGAACTTCCAAAATCCCCAGGGATGGCAGGTCCCGTTGTTTAGGGTTTAGGGTTGTTGCTCCAGGGCAGCCCTTGGACGGATGGCTGATAACGGCTTTGAGGCCGAGAGGTTGGAGGAGGCACTGAGGGGCCTGATGGCTTGGGTCTATAGTCCCCCTTAAGTAGACAGAATATGGCTTTGGGTATACTATAATAGGATCCCCATATACCCCATATTCTATCTACTTAAAGGAGGACTATAGGGGATATGGGGAGGGCTTCTGATTCAGGACATGGGTTATATAACATATAGGTTAACCCCCAATACTATAGTAGTTTCCATGTTCTTTTCCATCACCCATATAGAACCCTCAAGATACTATAGAAGTTTCCATTTTCTTTTCCAGTATCCCCTAATGAGCTTGGAGTTTGGGTTTAGGTAGGACTCAGGCTTAGGCTTAAGGATTAGGGTTTGCATGCAAAGTGAAATAAAAATCTGAAGGGACCTCGCGCCGGCAGCCCAGTAGAGGCACTGGACAGCGCATCATTCTTGCAACACCTCTTACGGGTGAGCAGGGAATTTGGGAATATAGTATACAGGGGTTGTATAGGGATGATATTCCCTTATTGCCTACTGAGAACCAGTAAGTCTTCTTCTTGAAGACGACTTGATGACTTCCTGCATGCTTCGCGAAGTGCAATAATGTGTCCAATCTGTTTGCTCATGTGCTGCAGGGTCCTCATGGTGGTTACCAACTCCCCCCCAGGCTTAGAGACACTGCAGTGTGCTGCAAAGCTGGTATCTTCACCTTGCTTAGAAGGTCCTCTTACAGAGGTTGCTTACCCTTAGTTCAGCTCGCATGATCCATTTTGTGAAGTGACGTCGAACTTTCGACGGGTTGTTTTGCAGCGTCTGCTGGGCTGAGGGCTAGGGAGTGAGGCCCATGAGGGAGTTGTTCCCGTATCAGCACGCTCGGGGTACCTTCTTACCACGCCCTTGCCAGTCCGTGCTGGATCTCTTCCCAGAGCCGGAACTTCAGTGCCAAAATGCTGTTAGCAGTCACATGTGATCCTGGTGATTTCGATCCAGTTAAAGGCACTCAGCTTCAGCCTTTTTTTCGAAATAGCTGTTTTGTGCAGAAGTGTAAATAGCAAAGCATGGGCTACGCA